GTTCATCTGGAGTACTGCTATGGGGCCTGGGTTCTGCTCAATGTCTCCGCTTAGCAGTAGCTTTTGTCGTTGCGCGTCACATACGGCACGCAAACAGTATGTATAGCGCTGATAAGCGCCGATGGAATTCAGCAGCGGATGGAAATACCGCTCCGCGGGCAGCCATGTACATGGCTCCATCTGGTGCCCTTCCGACCCGTTTGAGCGGCGCCTACTGCCTCTCCGCGTGCAGCGGATGGGCAGCAGGCGCTTAGCTTCCTCTCTAGCAAAGAGTACTAGACCCTGGCACCACGTTGAGGTGGCCGGCTGAGCAAGGCAGAGTTTGAGGTCAGGCGAGGGGTCATCATTTCTGGAAGGGGGCGATTGAGCAACAACTACGCCCACGCCGCCGTGGACGTGCAGAATGGAAGCGTTCAGCCTCATTCGCAGGTGGAAGAGGCGCGTAACAACCTATCGGTGCGCGAATCTAACATTGCGGTTGCCGGCGGCCTTCTTGCAGAACGAGAGTGCGCGCTTGCCGGACGCGAACAGCAGTTGGAGGCGACCCGCACCCAACTACAGGATCGGGAGGCACGCATTAGTGCTAAAGAGGCGCGGCGAGCCGCGTGGGAGGCGGAGACGGCAGGCCGGGAAGAAGCCCCCGCCACTCGGAGAGGTTCGACAGATAGACCTGTCGCGTGTCAAAATAAGGCCGAATATGGCGTTACCAAAAAACCGCATTAAAAGCATTGCTTGATGGCTGTGGGCGCGCCGTCACGCACGGCCCAACGAACTCCGGCGCGAGAGAGACGGCAGGTTATTCCTCCAGACGTCTCAGGGCAATTTTGGTGGCCACATTTCCATCCCTCGATGCCTTTGCCCTCCAGCACTTCTCTTTGGACGATCATTCCGCTACAGAAGAAGAGGGACGAATGTTCCGCGCATTCGGCGTCACCACTTGGGCCCCGCGTATATGGGATGAAGGCGTTTCCGAAGTCTTTTTAGACCTCCGGGGCGCATACAAAAATTTGAAACGTGCAGAAGACCAGGCCCAACTTGTATTTGACAGCTTGGTTGCGTGGATCGATGCGCTGGAAGCGGAGCGGGATCCCACCGATCGCTTCATGAATTTGGGAAGGATCTTACTGCATGCATTCCGGATGCAGCTCATGATGGCATCCGACCCCGGCATCCCGCTCTTCAACATTCTCGCCCGTCTTTACACAGCTGTTCGCCAGACGGACACCTTTGCGAGGGCAACCCAGCCTCCCTTGGAACGACGAGGGACGCAAATATCGTTGCGATGCCAGTTATGTCATGTTTATGGACACGTAACATCTAAAAGCAACGTCCGAAACGCAACTGGAGGAAGTTACTCGCAGCGCGGACGGCCGTTAAGAAACGGCGAGGAGCTAATTGCTGCTTCTTATGAGGGCGAACGAAGGCAGCCCCATCCATTCCACCACCCCCCACCAGTCCTCACAGGCGTTGCACGGAACCGCCGACACTTCATCCGATCTCTTGAATTGCCCGACGCAATCATCGAGAAGGGCGATGAAGCTTATCCGCCAACGGCGCTCGACTGTGGTACGACGAATCACCGACATCCCCGCTTTGGGCCAGCCACACGAAGAGAGCAAAACGAGGTCGCTCGAGAGATGTGGGCGCCGTCAGCGTGGGAGCAGGGAATGTCCCTAGCGGGGCAATTTGCAGCCTTTTGCTGCACGCACGAACAGCCGACCAACGAGGAGAGCTGCGCGGCCTTTTTGATGGCAATATTAGATGTGGCGCCATCGACCCGACTGCAGTACGCCAGGATGCGTCGGTCCATGTTGGAAATGAATCGAACCCCGCTGGGCATGATGATTTTGGGGTTACAAAATATCGCGGCGCAATCGGAGACAAAACAGGTGCGCCCCTTGACAAAGGAAGAGATGAATCAAGTTATCCGCAGCCGGACCGAATGGAGGGAACGTGTTGTTTTCCGGCTTGCGTGGATAACGGCGAGTCGTTGGCCCGGGATTGCGGCCTTAACCCCCAACAATGTCACAATGTAGCCGGACGGGACCTTAATTTTTGATTGGTCCGTGGCGCCGAAGACGGCGAGGGCGGATCCCCACCGCGCCTCGCGGTCTGCCGGGACACGAGGGCAGGACGCGCCCGACACCATAAAGCTACGCAGGACACCTCAAGAAAACGGAAAGCTCACGAATCTGACGGCCGCCCACGTGGGGCGAGCTCTGGCTCCTTGGGATGCCGCGGCGCATTCCATAAAACAGGGAGCGTTGAGGCGCGCTGCTCCAATCGTGGAGACATACAGTTTGACCCACACGTGGTCTCGTAGTTGGCGAAGCACGCCAATCCGTTCGATCTTCCCCAGAGCATAGTTCGATATTTGGGGAGGTACACCACAATGCTGACCCAGGTGTCGTCGCTGGTCGCGTTGATGTGAAGGGAGAGACCGCGGAAGGGCAGGAACCCTGGCTGAGAGCGGGGGGGCGTCTTTCCATGATTCCCATCGTGCGGCAAAAATAACAAAACGCGCGACAAGGACGCACTCGGCCACACAAGATGAACACGCCACCCCGCCACAGCAAGTCAACGTGCCCATGTCAGATCCGGGGTGGATCAAGGGCCGGTTGGGCCCGGCCGCCTTGCGGGGCCC